AAAGTTGTGTATGAAATGAATAAATTAAAAGCGACAATATCAAGTTATTTATGAAATGAATAAATTAAAAGTGACAGTATCAAAGTTATTTATGAAATGAATAAATTAAAAGTGACAGTATCAAAGCTGTTTATGAAATGAATAAATTAGAAGTGAATTCGTAAAGACAGCATTTAAATTAGCTTGCTTAATCTAATCTAATCCTTAAAAAACAAACTTTATGAATTTTTAATTTTAAAAAATGCTATCACATATGACAGAGAAGTGATTTCTCTCATTTCATTTTCTCTTCCTATCATTTTAAACTTATTAAAAAATCAATAAAAATTGTGCTAAATACAGTTTGAAAAAAAATTAAAATTTTCCCATAATATATCGTCAATTGTTGGGAAAAAATCTGTTTATTCATACTTTTTTTTTTTTATGTGAAAAATGTTACGAAATAGTTTTACAAATAGAAATGAATCATTTTCATATTTTCTCATTTTATATTTGTTTGATTAAAATTGGACCAAAATCGACGTTGACTTAAAAAGTTTGCTTTGTTGTGTAATTTTGGAATTTAATTTAACGTACTCATTCAAACTTGTTAATTAATTAGCTAAGAAAATTTCGAAAATTTGTTTTACTGAAAATTTTGGAATTTAATCCAACGTGTAAGTGGTTACTGATTAATTTAGTAAGTGCTTGTTAATTAGCTTAAATATTGAACTAAATTACTCTCTTCGTGGTTGCTACGAAGCATTTATTTCATTTTCTTCTGTTCATTATTCCATTCTTGGTTTTTCTCTTTGCTTGTGAGTTTCGTTTTTTTTTTTTTTACCTGTCTATTTATTCACTTTTTAATTAAACTTGCCGGAAGAAAAATTTAATTATTAGAATAAGAACAGAGTTATTTAGAAGTGTTAAAATGGTGAATGAATTATTAAATGACATCAAATTATGGAGAGAATTACTCAAACATGTTAAAGTAAGACGTGAAATATTAAAGTAATAAGTAAGTTATTAAGAAACATTAAAGTATGAAAAGAATTACTCAAAATTGTTAAAATAATAATTGAAATATTAAAGTAATGAGTAAATTATTATAATTTTACGGAAGTTAAATCTAACATTTTCATATAAAATATAATTAAAAATTAAAAAAATTAAACCATTAAAGGATGGAGAAAGGTAGAAATATCTTCCTGAATCTCTTAATATTATATTAACTCTCACCTGTTCATTTACCTACATTTAAATTTATTATTGAAAAAAGTGTAACTTGCATTTCCAAAAGTAGGTAATGCATCATGCAGAAATTTAATGCATTGATGTTGCACCTCCCAACGATCATCCATTAAAAGTTGTTCGAATTGATTAAATAAATCACCCTTTTTAGCAAATTTTATGAACCATTGTGGATTATGTTTCACCCATATTGTCAAACGACTTAATGTCTGAAAATTTGTCACCATACTTCAGTTTCCGGATTTTAATTTTTTAATTATGATTCAAGATTTCGATTTTTAGTAGGAAATTTAAAAAACTTATTTATTTCAACTTTTTTTTCTTTGTTAAACTCTTGAAAAATTTAAAGATAACATTAAAAGTTAAAAAGAATTTTCTACTTTTCATGTTTTCCCCGTTACATCTTCTTCTATTTTCTTTTTTATTCTTCATTTTCTAAGTTTACCAATGATAAGAATTGTTATTTTCCATGTCTCGAAAATACTTTCGAAAGAATTTTTGGCTGTAATTTTTAAATTTTTTGAAAATCAATCCACATTTACATATTTAAAAACATTGATTTTCATTTTTCCGGAATTTCCAGAAACTTTTCAGGATTCCGTAATTGGTACATACCTGCAAGCGAACATCAAAATCGGTACTACGCAGTAATTCGATGATATCTTCATCAGGTGGTAATAATGGTGTCATATTACGATCCATCACTATTGGTGCTAACATTGTCAATTTGATCTTAAAGAAATTTTAAGAAATTTAGCATTGATATGATAATGGAGTTGTATCCATTTGGATGCTTATCAAAGTTTCAGAGAAAGATTAAGATATGATAAGAGATAAATGAAATTGCGAGATTTCTTATGAGAGTAATATTTTTTGGAGTATTCTGTATTTGTTGCAATCCGGTTGATCCTAGCGTTAATTTTAACAAATTTTTAGTACCTTTTAATATAGACTAATAATTTCAAAATGATATCCCAGAATTTTCCGGAATGTTACTTTGAATCCAGGAAATTATCAGTCTAAGTTAAAAATTATTTCTTAAATTAATTTAAAATTATTTCTAAGTTTGAAATTATTCCTTTTTTTTTTAAAAGTTTATCAGATACTGTTAAACTTTTAAAGTACTATCCACAAAAGAAAAAAAATAGTTCAATTAATCCACCTATTGAAATTAATTAAAATCAACATGAGTAAAATTATTGAACTGAAATTGAAAAATAAAAAAAAAAAGATAAAAAGATATTCTTACCAACGAAATAGTCGATAATAAATATATTTTAATACAATATATACTAAACACACTACAATGAATTGTTGCTTTTTCAGTCGATTGCTAAATTTTGACGTTTAATTAAGCCTTTTTTTTTTCCAATGGATAAAAAGTATCGAAACATTCTGAAACAAAAAATTGTAAAAAAGAAAAATTATTTTCAAATTATAATGAATGTATTCAATGTTATCTGATTAAATAGCATAATATCTTATCTAAAATTACATCTAAATCTATAAATTATTACATAATATAAGCATTAACAAATATTTACATTAATATTTTAATCAAACATTTTTTTTAATTAATAATAAATTACAATTCCAATATGTTTTTCAGTTTCCCTTTTAAAGATTCAATTTTTTGGGAAATATATTTATGTGTAAGGTGGTGAGGGGGGGGGGGGAGGTAATTGAAATTGGCAAAAAATAAAATGAAATAAATAGGATAGATTTGTAAAGCATAACGAAGTATGAAATTCCTAAAGTTTGCAAATGAAATTATCGAAAAAAAAAAAAAAAAAAAGGTAATTTGCATTCATAGCTTTATCCGTCTGTTGATTAAATCAAAAATGCAAATGGTTAATGGTGTAGGTAGAGGGTTTTTACCTGAGAATGGATGAAAAATGAATGAATAGAGAGAGAAAGAAAGGGAGAGAGAG